ATGTGATTGGCACAGGACAGAGCAGGGTTTAGGGCTGTAGTACATAGGGTCGCTATGAGTCGCAAATGACTTGACAGCACATAACAACAACAACAATGTGAAACCTATACTTGGACCAAGAAGCAGTCATCAGAACAGAGCAAGGAGACACTACATGGTTCAAAATCAAGAAGGAGGTCCATCAGGGATGTATTTTGTCTCCATACCTTTTTAACCTGTATGCAGAACAGATCATCCAAGATGCTGGACTGTACGAGGAGGAATGTGGCATCAGGATTGGTGGAAGAGTCAACGACCTGCGTTATGCAGATGACACAACCCTGCTTGCTGAAACTGAGGAGGACCTGAAGCTCTTGCTCTGGAAGGTCAAGGACTGCAGCCTTCAATGTGGATTGAAGCTCAACATCAAGAAAACAGAGATTCTTACCACTGGGCCAATTGGCAGCATCAGGATGGATGGTGAAGAGACTGAGATAGTTAACAGTTTTCGTTTACTTGGCTCCATAGTCAACACTCTTGGTAACAGAAGCCAGGAAATGAAGAGACGAATTGCATTGGGAAGGTCAGCTGTGAAGGACCTCTCAAGAGTACTGAAGAGCAACGACGTCAGGCTGGAGACTAAGGTGCACCCGATCCTGGCTATAGTCTTCGCAATTACGTGCTATGCATCGGAGAGTTGGACAGTTACTTGGGATGATAGAAAGAGAATTGATGCTTTTGAGCTGTGATGCTGGAGAAGAGTGCTAGGAGACGTGGACTGCTAGGAGAACAAACAGGTTTGTCCTGGAGAGGGTGAAGCTGGAATGCTCCTTGGAGTCAAGGCTTCTGAAGCTTCATCTGACATACTTTGTGCATGTTTTGAGGAGGGACTGGTCCCTCATTTTTGGGAGAGTGGAGGAGCAGCGCAGGAGAGAAAGATCCTTGATGAGATTGATCGATTCTGTGATTGGGGTGGTGGGAATGAGTGTGTTGGAGATGGCAAGGTTGGTACAGGATAGAGCAGCATTTAGGGCTCTTGTACATGAGGTCGCTATGAGTCGCAAGCGACTTGATGGCACATAACAACAACAACAGAGCTGAGTTTGCGGTGACACCTAGCTGTCCCTTCTTTACTCAGGAATCATTTTCAATAATGGGCCCACCTGGAAAGATACTCGGCGCTTTTCCCTGACCATACTGCGAGACTACGGGATGGGCAAGCAGGGCAATGAGCAGCGGATCCAGAAGGAGGCCCACTTCCTACTGGAGGAACTCAAGAAGACTCAAGGTGTGTGTGCCACCAGAGAGGGGACAATGTGGGGAGGAATGGAATTATCTTGGCCCACTCTGCCTTCATGGTGTCCAGTGTCCACACACAGGGAATTGGCCTAAGCCTCCCAGGAAGAGGATCTGTTTGTGAGGACAAAGGATCCGCTTGAGGTTTGCTTGAGGGGATAGTAGATTTTTTTGCGGGTATTGATCTCCTAAACAAATTATGGAGCCTCTGAAACAAGAGGTGCCTGAATGGAGAGGATCTTCCTAACCACAGGTATTTTTATTATACAGTTTCATTTCCTTTCCTACAATTCAGATAAAGAGGCATGGTCAGCAAAAGTATAGCATCTGTGCTCCAAATAACTCTGAGGCAGGAATTCTCAAATCCATTACTGTAGAGTCAGAACTGACTCTATGTTCACCCTCCAGTGGGTTTTTGAGGCTGTAAATGGAACAAGAGATAATTGTCCATCTTTCTCCTTTGAAGCAGATGGTGTATTCAAATCACCAAAAACTCATGGCCCTTTAATTAGCACAATTCCCTCCAGATTAGGCCCCAAGAAAGGCACAGACCACGCAAATAGATCTTAAAAAATCAGTCCCTTATGTGAATCATTATGATTTTAGTATCTTCCTACCAACAGACAAGGCAGACAGGCATTGGATAGGACATAGCAAGACAACAGCAGTCAGGAAATGGTGAGGGCCCTGTGGGCATTGCTTAGAGGATCCCATGTTCACAGCTCTGATCATCATGTCTTTCAGGTCAGCCTTTTGACCCCACATTTCTCATTGGGGCTGCACCCTGCAATGTCATTGCCGACATCCTCTTCCACAAACACTTTGACTACAATGACAAGACCATCCTGAGGATGATGAGACTATTCAACGAGAATTTCTACCTGCTGAGCACACCTTGGCTCCAGGTGCAGCCTTTGTTTTCCATTCATCTGCCTTGAGTGCCACTGTGTGGTTTGCAGCAGGAGATAAGAAAATGGGACTGGGATTTGGGGTGAGGTGGGAGGCCTACATGAGCAAAGAGCCCCCCAGTGGGGCATCTAATCATTATATTCCTTCTTGAAGATAGCCCAATGTTAACTTCAGGAAAGTCATTATTTGTGTTTTAAGAGTGTTCTTCCCAAGAGACTCATTCTCTCTTGGGATAAACAGAGGTGAGCTGTCTGACAGCACTGCTCCAATGATATTATCCACTCAAAATATAGCTCTACATGAGATCACCACAATCAGCCCAGTCATTAAACAAAATCAGATTGCAGACAGAAAAAAAATATCTTGTAAATTTACTCTCTCTCTAGCTTTATAACAATTTTTCTGACTACGTACATTATCTGCCTGGGAGCCACTGGAAGGTCATAAAGAATACGTCTGATATTAAGCTATACACATCTGAGCTGGTGAAGGAGCATCAAGTGTCGCTGGACCCCAACTGCCCCCGAGACTTTACTGACTGCATGCTCATCGAAATGCAAAAGGTACCCTCACCTTGAACTATGCAGAGCACATCTAAATTGAGATCTCAGATGAGGCTGAGGACTGGGGACACTGATAAGCATTTTTCCCTCTAAGCTCACATCTGCACATCTGTGTCATGGTTCTAGTTCATGCTCTTGGTCTCACTGCAGCACATTTTATTTCAATGGGGTATAGCTTCCCACCCCAGCAGCCAGAGTGCCTCTGAAGCTTCAAACATCACACAGGTGCTGCAATACCAGCCAATGGTGGTTATGTGGGTCCCTCATAGAAGATTTTCCCAGACTATGATTTGGTCATTTATGTATCAATGATTTTGACCACATGTGTTTTGCCCACAGAAGCGTCTTAGCCTTCTTCACAGTCACACAAAGTTCACAGTGTGTGTGATTTCAAGGAATTCCGGGCTTGCATCATGTCACCTATTTGTGAATTTCACATTCTGGTTTCCTTAGATAATGACAATGTTTACCAAGAAACCTCTTCTATCATCAGAGTATCATCAGAGTTCCCCATGTGACTTCTTGGGTCCAAAGCACATCCCTGACAGGCCAAGCAGGTCATGGCACTCCAAGGTACCTATTGGCCTTAAAGTTAGAAGATGATTGTGAAATAGCTGCTGTGACACAGCAAGGCCCACAATACAGTCATGACTATAAATCCAATAAGTGAACAAGTGCACAGCCAACTGGATACTGAGAAGCTGGAATTCTCAGCATGTAGGACACCTCTGACTTCCGGAAAGGAGGAACCCATAGCCCCTGTAGGCCAAAGTGTCCCCAGGTAATGGGTACCTGGTGAAAGAATACATAGAGTACTGGGCCGTAGCTGAGTCTTGAGAGCCTCTGTTTCCCAAATGGGAGACTGATACAAATCATGATCTATCTGTATCATCTCGAAGCTGGGCTCCAGTGATTGTTGAGTACAGATAATTTCTTTCTCTGTAGAACTAGTTGGGGGGGAGTCAGTACCTTCTCATTTATCAAAGGAGAGCTGTTGCTGTTAGGTTCCATCACACTGACTCCTTATCAACCTTATACACATCATATTCTTCTTGTTGTTGTTGTGTGCCGTTGAGTCGCTTGCAACTCATAGTGAAACTATATACAACAGCCCTAAACTCTGCTCTGTCCTGTGCCAATCTCACTGTCTCTGACACTCCCATCCCAATTACCCCAGCCACTGAAACAATCCACTTCATAGAGGGCATTCCCCTCCTGCGCTGTCCCTCCACCCTACCAAGCATGATGTCCCCCTCCAAGGACCAGTCCCTCCTTACAACTTGTCCAAAGTATGTTAGACGAAGCCTCAGAATCCTTGCCTCCAAGGAGCCACCCTGTTTAACTCTCTCCAGGATGAATCTGTTTGTTTTCCTAGCAGTCCATGGTGCCCTCAATACTCTTCTCCAGCACCACAGCTCAAAGGCATCAATTCTCCTTCTAGCCTGCTTAGTCATTGTCCAACTCACTGATGCATAACAAGTGATTGCAAAGACCATGGCCTGTATCAGACACACCTTAGTCTCCAGAGTGACACCATTGCTCTTCAGTACTTTGGCGAGGTCCCTAACAGCAGACTTTCCCATGGCAATATGTATTTTAATTTCCTGGCTGCTGGTGCCAAGAGTGTTGACTGTGGAGCCAAGCAAACTAAAGCTGTGAACAATCTCAGTCTCTTCACCATCCATCCTGATGCTGCCAATGGGTCCAGTGGTGAGAATCTTTGTCTTTTTGACATTGAGCCTCAATCCATATTGTACCATCCTCAAAATCTCCACCATTTTCAAGCCCACTGTTGCAGTCACTCTGTCAATCCATCTCTTGGAGGATCTTCTTTTTTCTTGACATCTATTTTATAAGCATGATGTTTTTTTGCCAGGACTGGTACTTCCTGGTAACATATCTAAAGTATGTGCGATGAAATTTTGCCACCTTTGCCTCCAAGGAGCACTCTGGTTGTATTCCCCCAAAACATAGCAAGTCCATTCCATATTCTTTGCCAACAGCACAATTTAATGGCACCATTAACTCTTGACTTATTGTCCACCTTTTTCACATGCATTTGAAGAAAAGTTGTCTTTTTTTGCACCCACCTTACTGTCTGTCTCTGATACTACAGGAAAAGAAAAGTTCTGAGACTGGATATACATTGGAAGACATCACTGTGACTGTGGCTGACTTGTTCTTTGCGGGCACGGAGACCACCAGTACCACCCTGAGATATGGACTCCTAATCCTCATGAAGTACCCAGAGATTGAAGGTGCGTCAGTGCTGGGACAGGGCAGGTTACAGATACAGTGGGACACTAGCACTAGGCGAAGCCTGTGCCTTGGGTCATGGGTGAACCACCTTGAAGGGAATACTTTGTGGACATGTACACATTTCTGCCAACACCTTCATTTCAGAAAAGGAAAGCCTCTTGCATTTTCCAAGGGGTCCAACAATAGAGCTCAGAATGAGAAACATGAAGAGCCACTCTGTAATATCACTGACTATGACATTGAAAATATATTCCTATAGCTTCTAAGTAAGGCTTAATTCTCCACAAAGGAGGGAAGAGGGCTTGAGGCTGAGAACACAGCAGGACCCAGGCAGAGAGCGAGGGTCCTGAATATCTCCCGAGGGCTCTGTGGCATGAGAAATTTGGACTGCTTTGTAGTAGCAGACCTCTAGACTTACTTTAAAAAAATCTATTATTGTCTTTTAGGTGAAAGGTCACACAGCAAATTAGTTTCTCATTAAAAAAATGCTCACTTACTTTGCTTAGTTTCAAGATAATTGTGTTGTGCTGGCCTGGCTTGTCAGTTTTCATTCTCCTTCCTTCCATAGTTCAGTCTAATTCTTTCCTCGACTGATTGCTATGGGTTCCCACATTATGTATCTGTTTCATTTGATTTCTTAGTTCTTTGCTGTAGAGAGATGGCATGTTATGTATGATCACCTTAAAGTTGTCATCTTGGGCCACCCTTAAATTTTTATTACTTACTAATTATGAGTAATTCACAATATATAGAAAAAAGACAAAATAAATATGACTAGCACATATATGTCAGAGTTCTTCTAAAGAAAAAATGGTGCTTCCAACTAAAGCTCTCTTTCCAGAGATGCCGATTCCCAAGCTGGTGTGCATTACACATATGGACAACTTCATACAAGCCCACTACTGTCAAGTCTATTCTGATTTATGACAGTCCCCTAGCAGATTTACAAGGCTTTAAATCTTGAAAGGAAGAGATTGCGTCATCTTTTTCCTCATGGGTCAGATGGTGAATTCAAACTACTGTTCGTTTGATTAGCTGTCCAGCATGTAATAATGCATTATGCTGCAACTTCATATAGTTAACACCTAAGTATCCATATACAGTTTATACTATTGTATGTGTTCCAAAATTTTACATGAGTACATACTGTACATATGCGCTTTGTGTTTTTTTTCACTCAGCATATATAAAAGTCCATGTTGTTGTTATTACATGCTATCAAGTCATGACCAGATCTGAACCCTGTCTTATCCTGTGTCATCTTCACAATCTCTGACACCCTTGCAACTTGCCAAAGTTTGTCTCTTTGTCAGAGACTGATTTCATACTCCTACTTCCTAAAAGTTCTTTAAAATATAGGCAGTGCATGTTTGATTCAATTGTTACTCTCTTTAATAATTCTTAGAAATATAAATTCATTCTTAATACATTCTTTATTAAAAGAAATTGGTAAAATCTTGTCATTCTCTACTCTTAGGATAAAGAGAACTAGATTATAGAATTGGCTAAGATAATGGAAGTCAAGCAATCTGTAGTTTGTAAATAACTCCCTGGAATTTAACTTCCTGGGGCTTGTAAATAAATTACCCAATGATTACATGGAGCACCATGAAGTATTGATTAAATGTTCTATTAAATTCTATTGGATGGATGAATTGGTAGTTGGATGCATGGGTAGATTACTGGGCTTATCGAGATATAAGTAGATGATTTGGTGTATGATTTGATGGGTGAGTAGATGTATGGATGAATACATAGATGGGCCAATCTATAAAACTTATTCCATTTATACTTTGGCAGAGAAACTCCATGAAGAAATTGACAGGGTGATTGGGCCAAGCAGAATTCCTGCCATCAAGGATAGGCTACAGATGCCTTACATGGATGCTGTAGTGCACGAAATTCAGCGATTCATCAACCTTGTGCCTTCCAACTTACCTCATGAAGCAACTCAGGACACTATGTTCAGAGGATATACCATCCCCAAGGTCAAATGTGCAGCCCAGAATTTACATCATAAACTCTTCTATTGCTTTAAGCTAGCCTACCAAGAGACATAAATCCTCTTTAGCTACACTTTTCTCTGCCTCTTCATAGACCTGGTGACCACAGAAATTGAGGAATTTGGAACAGTGACTTATCATCTTAGTGTCTGGGATTTGCAGTGTATCCTACACAAGTGAGGGTGGAAGATGATAAGAAACAACTTTGAAATTAAACCTTTTAAAATATTAGGATATCCCTTCCCATCTTGAGTTCACTCATTATTCCTGGTTCATGGAAGTCTATCTTTTTATCTAGTTCTTGGCCAAACAACTTTCCCAACTAGAAATATACTCTTCTGGGTTATAACTAAGAATTCAAACAACCTTCTTTATAAAGGGTTTCCACAAGAACGTAAACATGTGTCAAATTGCCTAAGATGGTCTTTATCTTTCTAGGGCACTGTCGTGATTCCAACTCTGGATTCCCTCTTGTATGATGACCAAGAATTCCCTGATCCAGAGACATTTAAACCAGAGCACTTTCTGAATGAGAATGGAAAGTTTAAGTACAGTGACTACTTCAAAGCATTCTCTGCAGGTAAGAAAAGTTCATATGTTGCATATTTATTCAAGGAAATTCTTTCATTTGCAACTCCTCCATGCCGGTACCTGTAATTTGAGAGACATCTTTTCACGCAGAAGTTCTAGGAATCAGGTGTTGTGGATGAATTTTTCTTTTTCATACAGTGAACACTTCACCTAATTCAGTGCTAAAGGTTCATTTCTACTTTAACAGAACTATGTGGAAAACCTTTCATAAGTGCATTACCTAATTCTCTGTAATTGTAAACAATAACTATTAGACACAGTCCAAACTCTGGTTATCTGGACTCATTCACGGAACACATCAAAGTTTTCATGGATGAAACTCAGTAGCTGTTCCCTTGACCTCCTTCTCAAGATTCTATTCAGGTTTTGGTTCAAGAGAAAATTATGCAACCCACTTGATAGCTTCAATTTGATATACTTTCATACAATATTGGCTTCTAACCCAAGGGTAGCCCGCTTCTTTTGTGGAGAACCTCCTGGGTGAATACTGGGAAACACTTCCCTTGCTGAGCAGAAACCATATTTCTAATTTACCATGGACATTTCCCATTGTGTTCAGGATGGTTACACCTGCAGGAAGGCTATCTCCGAAAAAGTCACCATTACTGATTCCCTTGTATAAAATATGAAAATACATCTACTTCCTTTTAGTGGACAGGAATGAAGAGCTATGCTTTTTTTTTTTTAAATTTAGGTTGTTTATTTTTCATTTCAATGAACATCTACAGAGATTTTGGGATTCCATTCATTCATTGTTGCACCC